GTTTTGGCGGGAGCCCACGCTTGACAGCGACGGCGCACGTGTGCGTGCGCGCGCACACTTGCGGCGCACAAGTAGATGAACAATTGTGCAAACTTGGGTTTCTTGTACCCGCTGGCGAGGCAACCCAGGGTCTTCCAGGCAAGCCACCGGGCACGGAGGCCCAGCGGTTGCGAATGGCGCGCGCAGCCCTGCGGCAGCACTGCGGCCGAAAGAACCAATGCGGCCAGAAATGCGTCACTCAGCCTGGCCGTCGCCAAGGGGGACACCGAGCTAGCGTTTGGAAATGCCGCTGGCGCGGTACGTTCGGCGCCCAGCACGCAGGCAGGCCGCGCGCCATATGCTTCCGCAAAAAGCTATACACTTCGACTCCTGAGGGCACAGCGGAAGGCGCGAAGGACAAAGACAGAGGTGTAGGCCAGGCTTTGCCAGGACTGCGTGGGCCGATGCATCACGAAAAGCAAGCTCTGAGTCGGGTCGCTGCGGCGCAGCGGCGGCGCGGGGCCGCGGCTGAGTGGCGCCAAACTCTGCGAGTGTTCCGAACACAATATTCCTTCTCGAGTGCGCGGCCGGTAGTGCACGCGCCACCACGTGACGCTGGCATCGCGCTGCGGTGCATCAGCAAGGAGCAAAAACCATCATGCTACATGGCCACCACCATCACATCATCCCGCCATCACCACCACAGTCACCGCCATCAGCGCCACCACCACTCACCATCATCACCAATACACCTGATATATAGACAGAGATATCGATATATAGGTAAACCTACAAATAGATAGATGGGTAGAAAAATTAACAGATGGAAAGATGGATGGATAGACAGGTCGATAAGTAGACATATCGACAGATGTGTACATACGTAGATGGTTGCCGCGGTGGTTGCCTCTCTGGTTGCCCTGATGGATAGGCAGATAAATAGACAGATAGGTAGATAGCCAGATAGACAGGTAGATCGACAAGTAGATGGAAAGAAAAATAAACAGATGGATACGTAGACGTGTGGTTAGAAAATGTGTATATATATATGTATATATGTGTGTGTGTGTTCCGGCATCTATTTAAGTAGATAGATGTACAAATGCGCACTACAATCCACCGCCACCACATGCAGCACAACTCCCCGCAATTGCGTCGCTTCCATAGCCACTGTGGCCCAAGGCTGCCATGATTTCTTCTATTTCTTCTTCGACCCCCAGCGCAGCGGATGGGCAAGGCTTCGCGGCTTCTTTTTCTGACAGGTGTCGCGCAAAATGAATCTGCAACCTTTGCCGCGCCGACACCAGGCTCTGCTATTGCTGCGGCAGTTGCGGGGGTAGGGGGTGGCACTGCGGCGCCAGGGTCTGCCACTCCTGCAGTACCTACGTGGCCAGAAGGTGGAGGAGGAAGTGGAGGGGCGGCGCCAGGCTCTGCCACAGGTGTGGCGCCAGTGAGCGGCACGCCGGCGGAGCCTGGAACCCCGCGAGACGACTCCGAAGACGGATCTGGCGTATCCGCCCGTGTGGCCGCGACACTGCACAAGTTGAGCGGGTCCGAGCCGATCCACGTGACCCTCGATCCTGACGCGAACATTGGGCATCTCCGTGTGGAGCTGCAGCGGGCGATGCCACAGCAGGAGTTCGGCGAGCATGTCCGGCGAAAGTCCGTCGTGCTTCTCGGGGACTATCCGGAATCGTGGGGGCTGAACGACTTGTGGCTCGAGTTTATGTTGACTGACAGCATGCAGAAAACGCTGCCGTCGGGGACTGCGCTGCACTTCCAACTAGTGTTACACCAACCGTGCTGGTCCTTTCGGTGTTGGTGATGAGCCAGAGTGGTGTCGCCAGGCTCTGCCAGCGCAATGTTACCAGGCTCTGCCAGCGTTTCTCACGAACACGGGAGAGAGATGATGCGAGAGCCGAACACGGGGGTGTAGGTCCAGGCTCCACCGTACTGCGTGCACAGCTGGGCTCGCACAGTTGGCAAAACAGCGAGCGCAGTTCAACCATGCTGCTCGCATGTCCATAGACAGATAGATATATAGATTGATGGGTAGATATACAGATCAATGCATGTATAGATCTAGAGGTAGGCTGAGAGGTGTATATATATACCTCTATATATATACAAACATATGTAAAGAGAGAGGTACATGTATAGAGAGGTACAGGCACGGGCAAGCGCCAGCTTCCGTGCGACCGAGCTCCCAGACAAAGACGGAGGTACAGGCCCAGGCTCTGCCAGGCCTGTGTGGGCGGATGCTTCGCTAAGTGCCAGCTCTGAGTCGAGTCGATGCGGCGCAGCGGCGGCACTGGGGGATCGGCGCGGTGTCACCATCATCACTGTCACCGCCATCACCGCCATCACCACCACGACCACTCACCACCATAGATGGATAGATATAGAGATGAATAGATAGGTAGATCGAAAGATAGACAGATAGGTAAATACGATTATGTATAAGTAGATAGATAGTTAGATGGACTGCTTGAGGGATCGACTCGATACATATATACATATATATCCTGGTATACTTACATATATACATATATGTATATGAGTAGATTGGAATGATAGAAGCAAGCGGAAGTAAGTGGCATCGGTATGTATACGAAACAGATGCACGCGGTGCTAACTAGGGTAGAACTGTGCAGAGCCACCTATGCGGCCGCCCAGCGCACGTTGCCTACGAGGCGGCCAAGGGCGGGCACTGCCCCGAAGCCTCGGCAACGCCACCCAGCGCACGAGGCGGCCACGAGGTGCGCCTGGGCGGGCACCAAGCGAAACCTCGGCACCTCCAACCAGCGCGCGGGGCGCTGACGAGGTGGCCAAGGGCTGGCACCAGGCGGCACCCCTGAAGACCCAACCAGCGCATGAGGCGTCCACGAGAGCCCACGAGCGCCCACGGGCAGGCACCCGCCCGAAGCCTCGGCACAGCCACCCGGCGCACGAAGCGCCCACGAATGAAGCCCACACGATCCAGGCGCTAGCCGAAAACCTGGCACACCCAACCGATTCCCCGAAGTAAGACAAGTAAGAAACCCTCTGCGCAAGTACTACTTCACGGGGGAACACTAGCTTAATATTCGAGCCTGGGTCCTACCGAAGCAGCAAACTTTGACGACATAGATAACCAAACAGCTATGGCAACATAAATTGAGAGCATAAGCGCACATCGAAGGAATCCTGACCGCAAAGCGCCGAACAGCATCTACGCCCATACTGGAGCATGTGTTTGCGCTTCGGACAGTCTCATGCTGGTTGCGACCCAGCCCTTGCATCAGCGATCGGCAAGCATGATGCTGGTTGAAGCCATCGGGGAATCGACAGCATAAGTCGACGCACAAGCTTGCTCGTTTGCTGATTGGAACTCATCACATGTCGGACATGTAAAATGTGTTAATCGCTCTTGCCCAGGACACGGACGTACACCCCAACTGACCGTTGCGCTTACATCTTGAATTATTGCCGTTCCCATCATTATCTTCTCGACTCGTCTTGCGGCTGGCCTCAAGGATCTTGACAAGTGCAAAGTAGCAACCTGAAGTGAAGCCACACTGTACTGTAGGTTGGTGAGTTGCGAACACATCGAGAAACAGACACATCGAAGAAACGTTGCGCGTAGAACCGTCGTGACCTGAGGCGAGGTGAAGCCGTGTGCCTCTGAGCGCTGGCTCCTTCTGCGCACTGTGGCTCCAATCCCCAGATTCAGGGCCATACCCACGTGCAGTCCAGAAATCATCCTGACTTCCAGAACTACACTCAGCTCGACGTCTAGCGCGGTCTCCAGCACGACGTCCAACCCCGCGACTGGTCCGACGCCATGCTAGAGGGGACGGCATCTAGTTTGCAGGAGAGAGGTGCAGCTCAGTTGATGAGGCGATGATAGGAACTGGTCGGCCCCAGTTCTGGCGCATGTGGATGCAAGCTTTTAGCGCCTAGGTACAAAGCGATCGGTCACTCTCCAGGATGGGTTATCAACATCTTGTGATCGTCGCACGCACCGCAGTGGTAGACCACCCTGGCGGCGTTTACATCGTTTTCAGGGTGGCCAACCTGGCAGAATCTCGATGCTGAAGACACAAGGTTCACGCATGCATACTGCAGGTCCGTGCCGTGTCGACCCTGGCGTTGGTTCCTGACACCGCGCTGGATCGTTCAACCTTGAACGATCGGCCGTCACCGCAACGTCCGATCGTTCAACATCGATCGATTCTGGGTCGCCGGCAGCGTTCAACCTTGAACGCCCGCGCTGGGGTCGCCGCTGGTCGACTCGACGCAAACCTACCGTGTATATAGAGAGAGAGGGAGGGAAGACATGCTTTGCGTCGTCTGTGAGGGAGCACGGACCAGAAGCCGTCGACTGGGATGGAGGCAGGCTGCGCCCAAGTGCAGGCTCACACATGGGGGCTGTCTTGAGAACTGGCGTCCTTCTTCACTGCAGCCTCGCTCTCTACCCCAGCGACCCAGATGTCCAGCCCGATAGCCAGTCAGATACCAAAAAACTGCGCCTGTCACTGCGATCAACCAGCCTTCCAAACGCCACATCCTGCCAGACGGTTGAATATGGCAAGCCGAAGTCTTGAAGTTAGAAAAATTGCAGCGTCCTAGCCCGAAGTGCGGTGGCGATTGACCATGTATGACCCGCGTTCGACTCAGCACGAATTGATGGAGATGGCCGTGGTGCGAACTGGTAGACATCGGCGTTGCCCCCCAGAATCGTGGATCACATCAACGCGGTGTACGACAAGCTTCGTAGGAACACACGATCAACGCTGATCGACTCTCCGGCGCCGTTGATCGCAACGATCTACGCTGATTCAGCCGCTCAGATATTGGCCAACGGGGCGCCATCGGCTGACACCGCCACACTACCACCTCTCAGCCGCCTCGACCCTGAGACTCGCGGATCGCGGACCTGCGCAGCTCGTCCCGCTGTGCGGCCCGCCCGCCCCGCCTCCGAGGAGCAGCGGGGGGCGGTGGGCGGCGGCGGCCGTGGCGGCGACGGCGCGCGCGGGCGCCTCGCTGCGCGTGGCTGGGCGCGGGGCGCTCTCCGCGGGCGGCGACTGGCGCCTGCCGCCCTCCAGCGGCAGCGGCAGCGCCACCCCGTCGCGCGTCGTGGGGCGGCCGCCGTCGCGCGTCGCGGGCCGAGGGCGGCCCCGGGCGCTCGGCGGCGGCCGCTCCTGGCCCGGGGTCCGGTGACCGGGGTGAGCTGTCTCTCAGGGGCTCCCTGTGGCCTGGGTGAGCGAAAAAAAAAAGGGAAGGGGGGGAGCGACAGGGGAGGAGGGAGGGGGGGTGAGAAGAGGGCATGTGAGAGGGGAAGCAGGAGGGGGAGGAGGGGCCTTCGCGCAATCTCGCACAGGATGCCCCGAGACGGGACGGCGGACAGGGGGGCGGACTGCGAGTCTGAGGAAGCCTCCCTGTGCTTGCACTGCCCGTCGCCCGAAGCACAATCTCTGGATGGCGGGACCCCGCCCAAACCACCCGCAGCCTTCGAAAAAAGGCTGGCCGTGTGTACGCGAAGAGCCGCAGCATGATTGGCACATCCACATTGCATAGATAAAGTTACATGAGGACCGCCAAATTCCGTGAAGACCTTCTTTCTTATCAGATGCTGACAGTGCACGGGTCATGTCAATTCCCAGGCTACAGATCAAGCCACAAGAGGATCGAGGCACCATGGAAGCGGCTCGGCTGATGGCATGGATTCGCGCCCTCCCCCCTCCAGGGGCACCTGCGGAGAGGTGGTGGTGCCTATCTCGCATCCCCTCCTCGCCTTACCCTCTCCCCCTCTCCCTCCCCCCCCTCCTCTGCCCTGCCCTCCAGAAAATCGCGATTGTGCCAGATCCCGACCTCCCCCAACGTGCTGGGCCCACCCGCAGTGTACCCACACCCCCGAAGCCAGCGAGACTTCGCATCGGGGCCCGCGCTGCTCCCTCACTCACTGCTTACTCGTGCACGTTTGTCCCCGTCTTCCGATGCTTCCTGCCTCGCTGTGCAACAATTTTCATGCGCCCCCGTGCTGCTGGCGCGTTGCAGCCGGATGCGCACGCAGTCCCCCCCGCGAGCCTGAAGCGTCCAGGAGCCTCCTGGCAAGGCGACGTGCGCCCGCCGGGCCGCCCCTCCCCCCTCCCCCTCCTCGGCCGGCTTCCGGCCGGCCGGTCTCCGAGGTCGGCAAGGACACCCCCGTCGCGGGCCGCGGCGCGGCCGGAGGCTGGCCCACCCCGGAGGGCCGCGGCGACCCCGCGCCAGTGCCCAGCAGCTGCAGCTCACGCGCGGCGGCCCAGGAGCCACCCGCACCGCCAGCGGCGGCGGGCGCGGCGCTGCCCCTCCCACGGGCGGCTGTGCTGAACAGCCCTCTTCCCTGAGTCTGCATGACTCTGGTGTCCGGCATATCTTCTTAAGAATCTAAGACGGCACTTATCCCCACCATCAACGATGATGTGTCGGAAAATCTTTGGGGGCACCTGAGTCGCCCCAGACGGGCTCTGGGGATCCAAGTCACAGCGAAGGGACCAATGTTGCTACACTGCATGGTGCCTCGCGGAGATCGTTGAGGACTCGGTGGAAATACTGGGCTTTCGGTGGGCAGCCGATTTCCACGTCTGGGTCCTGGTGAGAATCTCCCGCCGATTACAACAGGCGGGTGGGTTCCTGGGCCCCAGAAGGGGAAGAAGAGAGAGAGAGAGAGAGAGAGTTGAGAGAGTGGGGACAGTGAGGATAATAGATGATAGGGGTATGACACAGAGTATACCCGCTAGAAATCCGCCGGCACCCTTGTGGGGCCACAAGGCTGTAGGGCGAAAGTTTGCTGCTCCCTGCACCAGTTGCAGGTTCCAGTTTCCAATGTGACAATATTGCTTTATACTCCTTACTGTTCCTTGTTGTGGACCGCGCGAGGGGGGGGGGAGCCGAAAAGCGTCCGGACTACCACGCCCAAATCGCGTGCTCTGATTCCTGGGGGGGGCGTGGGACACGTAAAAATACATGAAATTCGAGGCCCCAAGGCTACACACCCTCGAAAAGTATACAAGACTCGCGTCCCAGAAGCCATAAACCCCAGCAAACTACGCCAGATTCGTGTCACCGAAACCATAAACCTTCGTATGTTACGCCATGCTTGCGTCCCCGACCATATTCGCGTCCCAGAAGCCATAAACCCTTTTAAAGTATGATAGATTCGCGTCTCCGAAGCCATATACCATCGTACATTAATCAATGATTACGTTCCCGATGCAATAAGCCATTGAACATTACTTAATGCCGCGTCCTCGAAGCCATAAGCCCTCGCAACTTATTACGTATTCGCGTAACTGAAACCAGAACCCTTTCTGTAGATTCCACAATACTCGTGTTCCGAAGCCATAAACATGCGTAACTGATACAATATCTGCGACCCCGAAGCCATACACCCGAGTAGATTACGCAATAATCGCGTGTCCGAAGCCATAAACCTCGTACAGTAAACGTGAGCCGCACATCCGAAGCCATAAACCTGCGTAGATTACGCTATAGCTGCGACTAAGAAACCATCAACTGTTTGTAAATGATCGCGCATCCGAAGCCAGATACCTAGGAAGATTACGCGGTATTCGCGTACTCGAAGCCATAAGCCTCTGTAAAATACGCTGTGTATGCGACCCCGAAGCCATACACCCTCCCAAGTTAAGCGTCATTCGCGTATCCGAAGCCATATACCTGCGTAAATTATGCTATAGTCGCGTCTCCGAAGCCATCAACCCTTGTAAAGTACGTTAAAATTGCACTATAGTCGCGTCCTCGAAGCCATAAGCCCTTAGAATGTACTGCATAATCTCGGCCAAGGAACTATAAACCCACGCAATGTACATAAGATTCGCGTTTCCGAAACCATACAGCCGTGTGTGTTACGCCATATTCGTGTCCCCGAGGCCATAAACACTTGTAGGCTAAGTTAACTGTGCGACATATTCGCGTCCCCGAAACCATACACCATCGTACATGACGCTCTAATCTCGGCCAGGAAACCATAAACCCTCGTAACGTTCTAATTTAACGGCGGCGCCGAGGCCTCATGATTCAGCTCTTGCATAGCCAATTATCCGATAGAAGGGGCTGGCGGCAGGGGGGCGAAGCCCTTACGGATAATAAAAAGCACAGCGCAGAGTTCTTAAAGGAGAGTGCATAGCGTGTCGATCAAGGAATGCAGGCGCGAGAGTGGAGAGTAGAGGGTACACGAGTGGAGAGCTGAGATCGGATGTAGACGGGGAGGGCACCGAGTAGAACGCACAGAGTAGCGAACAGCGAGAATAGCTTTAGAAAACACATAATACAGAAAACGAATGACCATGTTCGTCGTCCTTTGCTAAATGCCTCACAACGCGCGGTTCTTTACATTTCCGTAAGAGCAACCAAATTGGAGTTCGCTCTGGCGTAATGAACCACCGTGCCGCTAGGTACGAAGTGAGATTATCCTCAAGCTTGTTCGAGTTCTTAGTGAGTACGTATTGAAAATGTTCCTACCCCCAAGTTCCGAGAGCTGCCTGGCGCTCCCAGACGTTCTTGCAAGATCGTCGCGCGAATGTCCAGAGGCCTCGGGAGGGTAGTTGGGCCCAAGATAGCCCAACATGATCCCAAGACCCGTCCTGGATCCCTCTTATCGCTTGAAAGCCTCCAAGATAGCCAAAGAGGCCCCCCACGATTCCCCCAGCATGGTCGCAGATGCCGCCGATGCCCCCAGAAAATGGCCCCTAGAGGTGCCAAGGACAAGTAATCCGAAGTGACGTTTCAAGCCCATGCCCTCAAGATTGCACCGAGGCCATCACAAGCTCCCAAGAAGCACCCAAGAGGCCCCCAGTACAAGGCGGGAGAAAGTAGGTTACGGTGCGGGGAGTTTTTGTTGGCCGCCCCTGGGCCCAGCCCCTGGTTGTAGCGTATATGCCGTCCTTGACATTTTTGTTGGTGCGTACGGAATCCTCATGTCGCGCAGGTGCGACGCGGGCTGAGACCCATACCCTGTCTGATTCATGCTGAGAACCAATCTCTTAGACTCGGCCCAGGGCAGCGCCTCAGGCGGAGGATAAGACTCAGACCAGACCCTCCTCAAACTCAGCCCTAGACTCAAACCCACACTCTTACACAGTCCTGACCAGACTCGGACAACAAAGACCCAGGCTCATCGTCAGGCTCACACGCACTTTCAATCATGCACGCACATTCGCGCTCAAGTGATAACCTACGAAGTCCGAGTGCGCTTGTTGAGCTGCGAACTCGCAGAGCGTCGCCTCTACAAGGTCTGTGAGCCCCATGCCAAGTAAGTATCGCTGCCGCTTAAAGGCTGATTGGAACTCCCAGTATTGGCTCCTCCGAAAAACGCTGTGAGAGAAGCTGAAAGCAAATTCGCACGGGTGGGAGGTGGGACACCCGGCAAGGCGGCACATGCAATGTGGGCGCGCCGAACGAGCCGGCCCCATCTGCTGCATCCCCCCCGGCCCCCCCGTCACTCCATCCCGATCTCCCAATCCCCCCTCTCCCCGCCTGCCTCCATCAATTTGTGCGACCTCTCTCATCCCTCATAGCCTGGAGCCGCTGCTGCAGGAGCTGGCGTCGACCCTGGTGTCGCCCTCGAGCAGCTGGCGCAGCTGCTGTAGCCGGCCCTCCACCCTGGCATGCACAACAATATCGTCTCGACGCGACAGCTGATGCAAGCAGGGTGAGGCGCAGGAATAAGAATGCCCCGAACAAGAACAGTAACAGGGAGCATCGAGAACAAGACGAACACGTAGTAGAGAAGGACAGATGGGATGGTGGGAGAATCGCAGACGTGCTGTCTGTAGAATGTCAAATCAAACTCGCACGCGCCGTGGGGCTCGAGCGTGCACACATTGCCAAAGCTGTCGTAACAGCCCTTGCCAGGTCAGACCAACCCAACATAAACAAGCCACACTACGAAGCAAGAGCCGCTCATCCAAAAGCCAGCGGCATACCTTCGAGCCAACGTAGACGCCTCGAGGTGCTCGCACAACGAGAAAAACTCAGGATGTTCTCCAGGGGAGCCTGCCGAGAGGGCTGCCTCACACCGAAAGAACGCCCACCCTCGGCCTCACGGCCACGGCGCGCAGAGACTTCCCGATGCTGCCGAGGGGCGCCGAGGCGAGCGACCTCTGCACCCGCAGGGCCTCCGCATACTGGTCGAAGGCCTGCCGGTACTCACCCTGCCAGACGGGGGGGGGCCTGGACGCCCATCCGTGCCGACCTCCTCGGCAAGGCTGCCCCGAAGAGCGCTCAAGATGGCAGCGCACGGCGCCGCCCTGGCACTGTCTGCGGGCCTCTCTCTCGGGAGGTCCTCTGCCGAGGGGGCTGGCTCCAAGGCGGGTGCCAAGGCGAACCCCCGTCGACCTGCGCGTCTGCGCGGCGGGCCCCGGCAAGGAGGCCGGTGATGCGGCGGAGCGCCGCGGCGCCGGAGCAGGCGGCCCCGCAGGCCTCCGCGGCGCCCCCCTGGCATCCCGCGGGGGCAGCGGTGGCCTCCGACATCGGGCGGCGGCTCCTGCTGGACCTCGTGTGGGGAGCCCTGAGCCGAGGTGGGGGGCGGGAGCGGAAGTGGAAGCAGACGACGTATGCAGAGCCCCATGTAGAAGCAGACGGGGGGGGCGGGCGGGGGGGTGAGGTCCGCGACGACGAGGAGAATGAGGAGGACAAGGTGGAGGAGAGATGGAGGAGGGGGATTGGTACGGTGCGGGTGAGGAAAAGGAAGAGAGCCGAACCGGATGAACGTGATGAGGGTCTATGTGCCGCTTCCACGGCATCTCTATCGCCCACCAATTGGGGCAGTTCCCTCTTCGCAAGCTGTCTCCCTGCAAGACTGATGCGTTCAAGTATAATAGGAGGCGCGTGCGACGATCGCTGGCCTACATTAGTACAGACGTCACGCCCCATGTCACACATCCTCAAATCAACAATACAACGCCGCTGCGATACACGTGGTAGTGTAGATGCATTGGTATGCTGACTGCGACCGTCACGTAACAACCCAACATGTGTCGTCCTAGTTGGACGTCGCCAGCGATTGTGCATTGAGCGGCCAGCAATCCCCATGGTAACCCGACGGGTCAGATGAACCCTATCCCTCTCTCTCTCTCTGTCTCTTCCTTTATATAGATTATGATATTCCTCTCGATATCTCTCTCTCTCTCTCTCTCCCGTTCTCTCTCTCTCTCTCTCTCGCTATCTTTATGTATGTCGCAAGACCGAAAATCACAACACGGCCCTCTCTGTCTCTCAAACTGTGGTGGTGTTCGCTTACCTATGTCGCGCGACGTGCCGAGGTCATTCATGCCAACATGTTAGCTCGCAGCAATAACTGCACAAGTAGCTCAACACAAATGTCAACGTGTGGGTGGCATGTGGCGTGGTTCAACACTGTCCTTTCAGATCTTGGCCGCCACTAACTAGCACACTCGTGACGTACGGTGTGCCACTCCAACTTGCCATGCGATTGAAGGTTCTACAGGCCACGGGCGGACAAGGCCGCGCGTCCAGACCAATCGGACAACACATAGCCGCCAGCGAAGCAAGACTTTTGCCGCCGAAGTGCATTTGCTACGTTGGAACATGCAACACATATTTTCCGCTGTCAGCAACACAATTCGATTGCCCCTGCAGTCACTCCCAAAGCTACAGATGGCACGCTATAGTACGCTCCAGGTAAGGCAAAGGTCGTGCGGCAAAGGTACGCGACCTCTCTGTGCCGCCCCAGAAGGCAGCGGGGCCAACAAAGTCATCAAGTGAAACGTCAATGTACATCGAGCGGGGGAGCGCTAGTCTCAGGGGGTCTCAAGCGAGGACGCCAGTGGGGTTGGAACGATGTGCCGATCAAGGGTCAAGGGAATCGGTGTACACACATCGCTTGGCATATCAGAACCCCCCCCCATACCAAACCAAACTGACAATTGGAAGAGTCAGGAGGAATCGAATGTCTGGCTACCACGTCAACTCAAGGAGTATCAGTAGTGGGCTATGCGACATGAGGGAGCCTAGGGTAAAGACGGAAAAATTGCATGAACAGCTAAACATTATCGACCCACGAAACCGGAAAGGAATATAGAACTGCAACGCGTGGCAACGTGCGCCAAGACACCTGATTGGGCGACGGACAAATTAATTGCTGAGTGTATCGATCTTGATATACCGTGCCGAAGTGTGTGCTGTGCTGCGCCGTGCTGAATTGCGATGCGCCATGCCGCGGTTGTGCTCTGTAGCGTTGTGGATCGAGTCCTCCTTTGCATTCGAGTCCTGACCGAATTGATCTGGATCTTAAGCTCGAGCTGCCTGAACACATAGTAGCTGCCCCAGAGCTAATTGACAGGGGGACATGCGGTGACATGCCAGGAGGACGCGCCGCGGAACGTCTCAAGGGACGCGCCAAGCGACGTGCCAGGGGACGTGCCATGGAAACGCACCGCGGGATGTGCCAAGGGGACGCGCTACGGAACGTGCTCGGGACAAGCGTTTCGCCCGAGACATCCTGTCAACATCCTCATGCTAGACATCCGCCTGAGCGACCTGGACACGTGAAAACAACCGTTTCGCTCAACACATCCTCAACACATTCTCATGCAAGACATCCGCCTGGGCGAACTGGACACGTGAAAACAAGGGGTTCGCTCGAGACATCCTCAACACATCTTCATGTGAGACGTCCGCCTGGGGGATCTGGGCACGTGAAAACAACCGTTTCGATCGAGACGTTTTCAACACCTCCTCATTCTAGACATCCGCCTGGGCGACCTGTACACGTGAAAGCAAACGTATCGATCGAGACATCCTCATGCTAGACATCCGCCTGGGCGACCTGGACACGTGAAAACAAGCGTATCTCTCGAGACATTCTCAACACGTCCTCATGCTAGGCATCCGCCTGGGCAACCTGGACACGTGCAAACAAGCATCTCGATCGAGATTTCCTCAACACATTCTCATGCTAGACATCCGCCTGGGCGACGAGGACGCGTGAAACATGCGTCTCGCTCGAGACATCCTCAACAAATCCTGGCGCTAGACCTCTGCCTGGGCAACCTGGAGGCGTGAAACCAAGCGTCTCGCTCGAGACATCCTCAAGACCTGGGAACGTGAAAATAAGCATTTCACTCGAGAGATCCTCTGAATTCTGGTCCCCAGGAGAGGACAATCGATAACACAAAACAAGCGTTTCGCTTCAGACATCCTTAACAAATTCTGAAAACCAAGCGTTTCGCTCGAGACATCCTCAAACATAATTCCGCCGGCCTCCTTCAAACTCGTCATTTATCGCAAAATTATGCCGCTGGCCTCCTGAAAATCGAAAACGGGGGTAACAATACTAAAAGAGAACCCTGGGCTGGCGCCTTTTCTGGGAACAAGTGGCAATACCAAAAAATAGCAGGAGAAGTTGGACTAAGATGTACGTACCCAGAAACCAACACTGGACAACGAACCGCCGAACCGGCGACTGGCTCGCACCCTACAACACCCGTCACCCAGGGCACATACAACGCACCATCGAATCGACTTACCTGCCAATGTCGACTCGAAGGTGGGAAACCATTCGAATATGGAAAACATAAGCTGCACGAAATGAAGATGTTGAGCGCAACCAATCCTTACACCAGCCTTTGATTTTACCGCATCGTTGTCCGCCCTCGCTCAAGCCTCCCCCTTTAGTTCCTGCACCCTGCTCGAAATGCTTAAAAGCCTTCCTGCCCAGGCTGAGGCGACCCTTCCATCTGAAGGGGGGTGAAAAGGCCGCTCGAAGAGTGACGCGCGCGCCCACGCGCGTCCGCAAACAACTGAAGGTTACTCGGTCACCCACGGCATGCGCCGTGTAGTGCAACAGTGGAAACATATTTGTAAAAATACGGCTGAATGAGGGCTCCGAGAACTAACCCGAACTTCCAGATTATCCCAGATATGCCCTGTCGACCTTCCCAAGCGGGCCCGAATACCTAACATATTCAGGAAGACTCCGAACAAGCCCACGAGTATGATCATCCGACCCCCGATGGCCACGGATGCAAAGACGTGTGAGACGATTGATTGTCCCCCATTCTCTTTCCTCTTCCCCTGGAGTCCAACATGCAGTTTGAGGGGTAGGGGGGTCCAGGGGGTCGGGGTCGGGGTGTGCAAGGGGGGACGACGAGCTCCAAAGCGCATCTCCCCGTCCCTCGGATCACCCAAGGGGCCCCAAAACGGCTCCAAGTGGCCACGGAGCCTCCAAAGAATACCCCCACGAGGCCTTAATTACCAAAGTGTTCGGCACAGGATGCCCCATATGTGCATCTCTTTCTAGTGAGCTCTCCTTCCGTGTCTTAACAAGGGTCGCGGGCGGGCCGCGGGTTGGTCGTGGGTGGGTCGAGGGCCGGGTCACGGGTGGGTCGCGGGTGGGTCGCGGATTGGTGGGTGGGTCGCGGGTGGGTCGCGGAGGGGTCGCGGCGGGCCGGGTCACGGGTGGGTCGCGGGCGGGTCGCGGGGGCGTCGCGGGTGGGGGCGGGTCGCGGGGTGGGTCGCGGGTGGGTCGCGGGCCAAGTCGCGGGTGGGTCGCGGATGGGTCGCGGGTGGGTCGCGGAGTGGGTCGCGGGGTGGGTCGCGGGGTGGGTCGCGGGTGGGTCGCGGGTGGGTCGCCGGGTGGGTCGCGGGTGGGTCGCGGGTGGATCGCGGGTGGATCGCGAGCCGGGTCGCGGGCAGATCTCGGGCCGGGTTTCGGTGGGGACGACGACAACAAACAAGCAATGGTAACAACAAGCAAGACATAGCAAACAACAAAACAACAACAACAATAACAACAACAACAACAACAACAACAACAACAACAATGACTAGCACGTGGGGACACACCGTTCTCACCAGTGCCAGGGTTTTCATAGGAGGCGGGCAATACCCCCACTTTGTGGGGGGGCCGGTTCAAGCTCTACCAAATTTCCAAACGACTCTTCGCCACCACCCACACCCAGCTTCCCGCCCTATGACGTTCGGACACTTCACTTCGTGGCATGCGGACGACCGTGGCTACTATTCAGGGCCCCGCGGCCGACGACGACGGCGTGCGCGCGCGAAGAAAAAACGAATGTGTCCCGCATGGTATTATTTGACAGGGATGATGGCCCTGGCAGGTGCGCAACCGTTGTTGCAGAAGTTCGAAAAAGTTGCTCGCAAAAGCCCGTTTGACAGAAATGATTAAAAAGTGTTGGGTTTCCTACGAATCCGCAAGAGCGCGCGGGATGAAATTTTGACATTTTTTTGAAAAACCATTGGTTTTTTTATGTTTTTATGTTAAAATCGCTACGAAAACTAAGGTTTTGGAAGGATTTCGTCTTGCGCGCGCGAATGTCCACTTTACCTTATTTTTTGCAAGGGATTCTTGAAGTTTGGTTATGTTAGAACAAGAAATGTCCACTTTAGCTTATTTTTTGCAAGGGAAAACCGATCGTAACAACACAACCGGATCCGGACCCCCGTTTTGCCTGAGACTTCCTCACGAAAATGATGAAAATGAGGCTGCGGCCTAGGCGCGGCGGGGGGGTCGTGCACCAGGGGTCCCAACAATAATTATTCTTTAGAAGTAATAATGTTCAACAACAATTACTAGCACGTGGGGACACTCCGTTCTCACCAGTGCCAGGGTTTTCATAGGAGGCGGGCAATACCCCCACTTTGTGGGGGGGCCGGTTCAAGCTCTACCACATTTCCAAACGACTCTTCGCCACCACCCACACCCAGCTTCCCGCCCTATGACGTTCGGACACTTCACTTCGTGGCCTGCGGACGACCGTGGCTACTACACTGGCGCATGGGTACAGTGACTTGTTGTGGTAACATTTTCTGGACGCTAGCTTAGTATACGACTTTTCCCCCTGTTCCAACACTGGACACCTGTACTGGTTTTTGGTGGTAACGTGTTCCTGACGCTAGAATAGGAAACCACGGTAAACCAGTACGACAGCGTGAATGGCTACGGATGTGACAGTGATCAGTGATTTTGTTCGATGACGTGGTGACACACGGACTTGTTGTGGTAACATGCCGACGACGACGACGACGACGACGACGCGACACGCGCGCATGTGTCCCGCATGGTATGTTTTGCAAGGGATTGTGGCCCCTGGCAGGCGCGCGAACGCCGTTGAAAGAGCTTGCGAAAGTAGCTCGCGCGAGCTCATGTAACATAAATGTTGAAAAACCATTGGTTTTTTAGGATTCGGACAGCGCGCGCGGGTAGAAATTTTGAAAATTCGTACAGATGTTTTTCGAGGACCTACGGTGCGATTCGTATGATTTTATGTTGCGCGGTGCTAAAATTCCTAAGAAACCCAATGGTTTTTGAAGATTTCGGCGTGCGCGCGCGAAGAAAAAACGAATGTGTCCCGCATGGTATTATTTGACAGGGATGATGGCCCTGGCAGGTGCGCAACCGTTGTTGGAGAAGTTCGAAGCACGTGAAAAAGTTGCTCGCAAAAGCCCGTTTGACAGAAATGTTTAAAAAGTGTTGGGTTTCCTACGAATCCGCAAGAGCGCGCGGGATGACATTTTGACATTTTTTTTTGAAAAACCATTGGTTTTTTGATGTTTTTATGTTAAAATCGCTACGAACACTAAGGTTTTGGAAGGATTTCGTCTTGCGCGCGCGAATGTCCACTTTACCTTATTTTTTGCAAGGGATTCTTGAAGTTTGGTTATGTTAGAACAAGAAATGTCCACTTTGCCTTATTTTTTGCAAGGGAAAACCGCCCGTAACAAAACAACCGGATCCGGACCAACCCGTTTTGCCGGAGACTTCCTCACGAAAATGATGAAAACATGGCTGCGGCCTAGGCGCGGCGAGGGGGCCGTGCACCAGGGGTCCCAACAATAATTTTTCTTTAGAAGTAATAATGTTCAACAACAACAACAACAACAACCACAACGACAACAACAACAACAACAACAACCATTTTAAGGCTGTAAGCTCTTACTTGCCCGCGAGTCATTCCACACGTATACCCTACACCCTCGAAGCCCGCCCTCTTCGTCTTCGATCACACCCCTTTCGGGGGAATTATTTCTCTTTGCTGGGGCCGGCGGGCTTAGACGTACGGGCAAACCGGAACGGGCGGACAATCCTTCGGGGGCGTACATCTCTCTGCCCGCCATTGGAATTGGCGCGGGCCCTGCAAGAGGAGGAGGGGAAGAACGAGGGAGAGTGGGAGGAAGGGGGGGGGGGGAAGGACGAAGGAAGAGGGAAGAGGTACCACGTTGTGAAGGCGTCCTTGGCGCGTGCGTGGTTCCTGAGCGCCGAAACGCAATTCCAGAATAATACACAATTCCGGAGCGCAGTCCTGAGTACATTGTGAGGAAATCTCGGGCGGGAGCGGGGGCCCTGACTAAGTTGCGAGGAAGTCTCAAGCGGGAGCGCCGTTCCTGAGCAAATTGCACGGAAGTCTCAGGCGGGAGCGGGGGTCCTCACTAAATTGCGAGGAAGTCTCAGGCGGGAGCGCCGTTCCTGAGTCAATTGCGCGGAAATGTCAAGCAGGAGCGGGGGTCCTGAGTAAAATTCGAAGAAGTCTCAGGCGGGAGCGCCGTTCCCACGTAAATTGCACGGAAGTCTCAGGCGGGAGCGGGGGTCTTGATTACATTGCGAGGAAGTCTCAGATGGGAGCGCCTTTCCTGAGTAAATTGCGCGGAAGTCTCAGGCGGGAGCGGGGGTCCTGAGTAAAAATCGAGGAAGTCTCAGGCGGGAGCCGTTGTTGTTGTAGCCCGGGGGGCAGGGGCACAGTTTGAGCAGGAAGACTTTCCTTCAGAAAAAACAAGGTGCGAGCCCCGGGGGTGGCACTTCAATCGAAAAAAAACAATGTGCACCGGTGGGGGGGATCAACAATAATTATTCTTCAAGAATGAGAGTTCAACAACAACAACAACAACAACAACAACAACAACAACAACAACAACAACAACAATTACTAGCACGTGGGGACACACCGTTCTCACCAGTGCCAGGGTTTTCATAGGAGGCGGGCAATACCCCCACTTTGTGGGGGGGCCGGTTCAAGCTCTACCAAATTTCCAAACGACTCTTCGCCACCACCCACACCCAGCTTCCCGCCCTATGACGTTCGGACACTTCACTTCGTGGCATGCGGACGACCGTGGCTACTATTCAGGGCCCCGCGGCCGACGACGACGGCGTGCGCGCGCGAAGAAAAAACGAATGTGTCCCGCATGGTATTATTTGACAGGGATGATGGCCCTGGCAGGTGCGCAACCGTTGTTGCAGAAGTTCGAAAAAGTTGCTCGCAAAAGCCCGTTTGACAGAAATGTTTAAAAAGTGTTGGGTTTCCTACGAATCCGCAAGAGCGCGCGGGATGAAATTTTGACATTTTTTTTGAAAAACCATTGGTTTTTTGATGTTTTTATGTTAAAATCGCTACGAAAACTAAGGTTTTGGAAGGATTTCGTCTTGCGCGCGCGAATGTCCACTTTACCTTATTTTTTGCAAGGGATTCTTGAAGTTTGGTTATGTTAGAACAAGAAATGTCCACTTTAGCTTATTTTTTGCAAGGGAAAACCGATCGTAACAACACAACCGGATCTGGACCAACCCGTTTTGCCTGAGACTTCCTCACGAAAATGATGAAAATGAGGCTGCGGCCTAGGCGCGGCGGGGGGGGCGTGCACCAGGGGTCCCAACAATAATTATTCTTTAGAAGTAATAATGTTCAACAACAACAACAACAACGACAACAACAACAACAACAACAACAACACCAACAACAACACCACCACCACCACCACCAACACCAACAACAACAACAACAACATCAACAACAACCACAACAGCAAAAACAGCAACAACAACAACAGCAACAGCAACAGTAACATCAACAACAACACTAACATCAACACCAACACTGACAGCAACTGCAACAATAACACCATCAACAGCATCAACACCACCAACAACAACACAAACAGCAGCAACATCAACAGCACCAACAACACCAACAACAACAGCAGCACCACCATCAACAACAACACCAGCAGCAACAAACCTACAATATCAACAGCAACAACAGCACCAGCAGCAACAGCAACAACCACACCACCACCAACAACAACAACCACACCACCACCAGCAACACCACCAATCATGTTAATACTGTTCGCTCTTATCTGCTAGTGTGCCAAGTAACATATCTTTCCCGAGCCCTCGATCCCCGCCCACTTCGTCTTCGATAGTACCCCCTTAGGTGTAGATCTTTCTTACCTGCAGCGTGTATTTCGTGCAGCCCCTAAGGCACGGGAAGAGGAGGACGGACGGAAGGAAGGGACAGGAAGGGAATGCATATGTGGGGCCAGAAAGGGTGACAGCGGGGCCACTGAGGTCAGCAAAGGGGACACGAAGGGCAGAGAGGGGGCCACGAAGGGCGACAGGGGGCCACGAAGGAAGTGATGGGGCCACGAAAGGCAGCAAGGGAGGCACGAAGGGCGACAGCGGGGCCACGAAGGGCATCCGTATGGGGCCACTAAGGGCGCGAGCGAGCGGGGGCCACGAGGGGCATGTAATGCGGGGCCACGAGAGGCAGCGACGGGGTCACTCAGGGTAGCAACGGGGCCACAAAGGGCAGCGAGGGGGCCACAAAGGGCGACAGCGGGGCGACCGAGGGCACTTCTGGGACTACGAAGGCGCGAACGAGCGGGGCCACGAAAGGCAGGCTTATATGAGGCCGCAGAGGGCAAGGACGGGGCCACTGAGGGCAGCAAAGGAGCCACGAAGGGCAGGGAGGGGGCCACGAAGGGCGACAGCAGGGCCACGAAGGGCATGCGTATGGGGCCACGAAGGGCGCGAGCGACCAGGGGCCACGAAGGGCATATAATGCGGGGCCACCGGGGGCAGCGACGGGGCCGCTGAGGGTAGCACCGGGGCCACGAAAGGCAGCAAGGTTGCCAGTAAGGGCGACAGCGGGGCCACGAAGGGCATGCGTATGGGGCGACGAAGGGCAGCGAGCGAGCGGGAGCCACGAAGAGCATACGTACATGGGGCCAAAAAGGGCGACAGCGGAGCCACTGAGGGCATCAAAGGGGCCTCGACGGGCAGAGAGGGGGCCACGAAGGGCGACAGGGGGGCCACGAAGGGCATGCATACGGGACCACGACGGGCGCATGCGAGCGGGAGCCACGAAGGGCATATAATGCGGGGCCGCAAGGGTATCGACGTGGCCACTGAGAGCAGCAACGGGGCCACGAAAGGCAGCGAGCGAAGGCGACCGCGGAATCGGTACGGGCAACGAGGGGCATCGAAGGCGGGCGAAGGGCAGCAAGCGGCGACTGCAGTCCCTTAGCTGGTCGTGCAGGCAGGCCCCAACGGGCGGGTCGAGCGGGCGGGTCGTTGAAGCGTGATTCCTGCTTGGATCGCCAAGAAATCAGCCGAACCTGTCGGCGTGTGGAAGAGGCTGTTCCGTTTGACTCGTCGTCGTCGTGGTCGTTGTCGTCGTCGAGCGCGCCAGTCGCAGCGAAATTGAGCAACGTTGTAGTGGAGTCGAAGGGAAGCCCCTTCCAAATTTGATTCCTTCCCCGCCGGGGAGGGCGTCCCGGGCAAGTCCCGGGGAAGTCCCGGGTCAGATGCGACTCCCCCCCGGGTGGTTCGGGGGCCAAGAAAAGCCCCAAGACGCGGCAAAAATTCCCCAAGATGCCCCCAAGACGGTCCTCGAGGGCCCCGAATCGCCGAAGTATCGGTCCATGTCGCCAAAGTAGCCTCCAGACGGCTCAAAAGGTTTCAAAAACGTCCCAAGAGGCCTCCAAGGGGACTTCAAAGAGGGCACCAAGGAACAAAAATCATAGATTTCCCTTAGCTTTTTGAAAGATTTCGGCATTTTCGCCTTGTCTGATTCCCGACGCTCCAAGACAGGCCAAGAGGCCCCCAAGGCTGCCCCAAGATGGCCCAAGAGGGGTCCAAGAGAGCCCCAAAACGACCCAAGAGGGCCCCAAGACCGTCCAAGAGGCCTCTAAGATAATCGAAGAGGCTCCCAAGACGATTGTAAGAGAGAACCCAGACGGGGGACCCAAACGGACATCACGAGCCCTCGGCTTGAGAAGCTCTCAGGAGACCCCCAGAAGCCCCTAAGAAGCCCCCCAAGAAGCCCCAAGAGGGCTCCAAGAGACCCCCAGGAAGCCCCCAGAGGCCCCCACGAGGCTCCCAAGCGGCCCCAAAGAGCTTCCCAAGAGGCTCCCAAACTACCCCCAGGAGGCCCCCGAAAGCTTCGTCGTTGTGGTCGTGGTTGTCGCCGCCATGCAGGGTCGGCGGCACCGGCCGTAAAGCCTTCGCAATATGTAGCGGGAACGCGACTCCCAAGTAAATCATGATGAGGTCCAAAGCGAGAGCGCATTTTCTTGGATGTCGAGGAGAGGCATCTGAATTGTGAAGAAGTCTCAGGCGAGAGCACGATTCCTCAGTAAATTGCAAGGAAGTCTCCAACGAAAGCTTGATTACTCAATTAATTGCAAGGAAATATCAGGCCAAAGCCGTTGTTGTTGTTGTAACTCGGGGGCTGGGGGCGCAACTTGACGCTCAAGACTTTCCCTGATAAAAAAGCGGGTGCGAGCCCCGGGAGGTGCACGGGGCAGGTGGGATCAACAATAAATGTGTTTGTTCAGGTGTGAGAGTTCCACAACAACAGCAGCAACAACACCAACTACAACTACAACAAAAACAACAATCATTCTAAGACTGCTCGCTCTTGTCTGTTCGAGTGCCATTCAGAACGTATTTTCCAAACCCTCGATCCCCGCCCTCTTCGTCTTCGATCGTGCCCCCTTAGGGATATACCTTTCTTACCTGCAACGTGTATTTCGTGCAGCCCCGGAGGCAGGGGAAGAGAGGACGGATGGAAGAAAGGGACAAGGGACAGGCGGATTGCTGAAGCGTGCGTCCTGCATGAATCGCGGGGAAGTCTCTTGCCATCGCGCGATTCCCAAACAAATCGTGACGAACTCCACAGCGAGAGCATGACTTCTGAGTGTCGAGGGCGCGGCGCCTGAATAAATTGTGAGGGAGTCCCACGCGCGAGCGCGATTCCTGCATAGAGGAGGTCCCGCGCGAGAGCGCGATTTGGGAATAAGTTGTTAGGAAGTATCTGGCAGGAGGCGCTACTGTTGTAAACCGGAGGCCAGGGGCACAGTTTGGTGACACCTCGCTTCCCCTTGTAAAAAAAACAGGGTGCAGGGCTGATCAACTGTACTTGTTCTTTAGAAGTGGGGAGTCAACAACAGCATCAACAAAACAAACACAGCAGCAACCAACAACCAACAACAACAATACCACCAACAGCAACAACAACACAATACAACAACAGCGGCATCGAAAACAACAATCACAACATCAACTACTACCATCCGCATCGCAGAACCTCACTTCAGCCACGCGCCCAGTGACAGTGCATGACCGCTCGGCTCCCTCACCCATATACATAATATATATATATACAGATACATGTTGAGAGAGAGAGAGAGAGAAAACACGCACATCAATGTGCATACACATGGATGTATGTTTGTGTGTACGTATGTATGTATGCCTGTATGTATGTATGTACATACGTACGTACGTATGTATGTATGTATGTGTATGCATGTGTGTATGTGTGTATGTGTGTATGTATGTGTGTATGTATGTATGTATGTATGTATGTATGTATGTGTATGTGTGTATGTGTGAATGTATGTATGTATGTATGTACGTACGTACGCACGTACATACAGTATGTATGTATGTATGTATGTATGTATGTATGTATGTGTGTAGACAAAAACTCGCACAGTTTCTATATCCAGGGCCACGATCGCCCTCCCATATGCCAAATTGCTCCTACAGTACTACCTCATGGCACAGCGCTCGGAACGAACTCCGCCGGCCTCGGCAACAACGAACCCCAGCGAGCGAAGCGGCAGCACACACGCGCTGAAAGAGCAACAGACCGCCCAAGTCTCGCACTCGTCTGGTCCACATGGAACCCCTGACTTCGTGATAGAGCTGGGGTAACGCAGCACCTGGAACCAAAAGAATTCCCAAACTCTGCCCCCACCTCGGACTGTTTCGGCTCCCGCTCGCCCCTAAGAGCGCTATCTTCACAAGCCAGGACCTGGTCCTCATCGGTCTGGCTCGAGCGGTTCGTGGGCGCTGGCCTAAGGGAGGACATCTGCCGCACCGTACAGATTTGGCGCCGTCAGGCAGTTGCTAGTCTGACCGCTGTCTTGCGTCCCTCTCCGACCCTGCAATGAGCGAGAGGCGATCATGGCTCCTCCTATTGCTCAGCATCTCCTCGTCTTTCCATCCCGCACGGTGTCAAGAATATGAACACCGGGCGCATGTGGCAGGTAAAGAAAGTGGGGAGCGAGAGACACAGACGACATCCATAAACAAGGGAACGCCCTGAAAGAGACAATTTCCTTTCTGCGCAATCGTGGGCATTACGCGTTTGATCCAGCATTGGCACGACCCCACCTGTATATGCATGTCGGTGTGGAAGGCGTCCACCACCGTGCAAAGGCTGAACACTTGGAGCCCTCAAAACAGAATGTTAGAAAACTCTCCAATGTCCCCCACACACTCAAATTCACGGAAATGCTGCGCTCTCCTGAAAATGTTAGGTTCTCCAAATCTCGGATGGTCACAAGGCCTGTCCTGTACGTAGCCGTGTTCGTGGCCTCTGGGGCCGTCGTGGGACCTTAGGGGGCTAGCCAAAACAATCAAAACCAATTCACGCCAAACTACAAGTTCTCCCCCCCTGTGATAACCAAAAAATCCAGTCCTTTCGGGGCCGAAAGGCTCCAATGGCTAGGCTTGCCCGCTCCCTGCAACAGTGCGAATTCCCATAGTTACGCGTTAAAGCCCCGATGCTGTAACGGACCCTCAAGCCTTATAACAGATCCGCGCTCCCAAGACAACAGCTCATGTTGTGTAAGGTCCTACATATTAGCGCAACAACCCCTCGTAAGTTACAACATTGTCGCGCTGCCGAATCCACTTAATTATGAATTACATCGAATTCACGTTCACGACGCCACGATCCCTAATCCGCTGGCCTCCTCGGGGGGCCAACGGGCTGTAAACCGTAGGTGTTCCTGTTCCGTGCAACAGTTCGAGTTCCCACGTTTAAAATATAAGCGTTCGCTGCTTAATTTCCAAAGTGGTATTTGTTGAAATCCGCGCGAGGGCTGGAGCGGGAAGGGGCGAAAACAAACCTCAAATCACCCCCACGGGTGGCTTTCATACTTTTATGGGGTGCGCTGGGACACGCGATCCAGATACTGCAGATTCGCGCCCCGGAAGCCACAACCGTTCCGTAAATGTATACATGGGCGCAGCCCCGAGGCCACAACTTTTAGTATATTGCAACGGGCTCGCGCTTCCGATGCCACAATCCCCACTAAATCACAACGGGTCCGCGCCTCCGACGCCACAGGCGCGCTCGCACCCCCAAAGCCCGACTATCTCTTGTGAACTACTTACTCATGGCTCGCGACCCCGAGGACGCAACCCCGCCGCAAATGATTGTAGGCTGCCGTTCCCGAAGCCGCAATCCGTTGTGAATCACGGTGTGCTCGCTGTCCCGCAGCAACGAATCTAGCCCGCGGAAAGGGAGCTCAATAACGCCACCCTCTCACCATCACCGAGAAGTTCCCCGACGATCGGACCCCGCATGCAGATCCCCCTAAGAAATTATTCAATGACCCTCATCGTCACCCTCGCGATCAATTGCCTTTTCCCCCTCGCCCTGCCGGATGCCAGCCCCTGTTCCCCCTCCTGTTTTTCCTCTTCCTGTTCCTCCTGTGCATCCTCCTCCTCCTTCTCCTCCTCCTCCGCCTCCTCCTTGTCCTCCTCCTCCATATATTTTTCCTCCTCCTGCCTCTGCTCTCCGCGCCCTCGCCCCCGCTATCTGGCGAGGGCGCGCAAGTCGATTTTCCTGGGCGCCGTCGCCGCGCAAGATGGCAGGAGCAAACTCGCCGATGGCTGGATCGCGGAGCCGTTCGGGCAACTCTGCGGGGCAGGCCCTCAAGGCCCACCCCGCGGGCCGCTGGGGCGCGGGAGCAAAACGTCGGGACAACGCCGCGGGCCTCGAAAAAGGCGCCGCCGCGACAGAGCGGGAGGCGACGCGAAGCCCGGCTGCGTTGCGAGCTGCTCCGCCTCGGCCCTGGAACTCTCGACCTTCTCGTCGCCTGTCCGGAGAGCCCCCCCCCCCGCGTGGGCGCCGGCGGCCCGCGAACCCGGAGCTCGGGCGGGGGCGCCGCGAAAGCGGCATGTCCCCCGCGCGCGCGTGGCGCGGGAGAACGTGACGCAAAGATGCAGCCGCCATACAGGCGCAGCGGCCATTGGTCGTCGTCCGACATGCCCGCGCGGAGAGCGCCCTCGCCCTTGGCGCATTTGACGGCACCGCCATCGCGCAGCGCCTCGCCCTGCGACGGCGTGGAAGCGAAGTGGGGTGGGCGCGCCGGGGCGAACCCCGAGCGGCGCGCGGCCCCGAGCTCTGCCGCGCGAGCTCTTGCTCGCTGGGCGCCCGCGCCTCGGCCTTGCCGTCGTCGTCGGCGCCCTCGGCGAGCTCGGCGGCCCCCTGGTAGATCGGAGACTCCGTGAAGCCGCGCACCTGCGTTCAGATTCCCCGCGGTAGAAGGCCGCAGCGCTCGTCCTCGGGATGAAACCCGAAGGACACGATGGTGGCCAGGTGCTCCCGCGCAAGCCCCAACTGCTTCTTCCACTCCTCTTGCACGGCCGCGAACTGAACCTGCATGCCGACGCGGGCCAGTCAGACGCCGTCGATGTCCGCCGTCTTGTGCATGTTCGGGGCGTTCAGGAGGCGCCCACCCGGGTCGGGGTCGCCGTGGGTCGTGCTGCGCTCGCCCACAGCCTCAGCAAACAAGGGCAATCTTCGTGTATTGTGATATGTGTTCGGGGGGCGTCTCTCGGTCGGTTCTGAAGCCGAGGCCGAAAATCATGCAACATATTGATGGGACTGCGCTCCCGAAGCCGCGAACACCTGAAATTGCAATTGAAGTGCGCTCCCGAGGCCACAACTTTTCGCTGGTTGTCTCAAGCGCGCAACCAGCTGGCCAGAAAACAGCCCAAGTCCGCCGACCACTGCTTGCCAGGGTTGGCAAACAATACCCCCCCTTTTTCGCCCCTCCCTGGGGCGCAGAATTCTGTTAGATTGGGAGGGGAGGTTTAAAAAAAAAAAAAAAAAAAAAAAAAAAAAAAAAAAAAAAAAAAAAAAAAAAAAAAAAAAAAAAAAAAAAAAAAAAAAAAAAAAAAAAAACGCGCGCATCTGCGGGCCCTCGGAGCCTCAAAAATGGGATCCAAAAGTGTGAGGATGGCTCAGGCGATGGTGGCCAGATCACCTCGCCTCAAAACATATCGGATCCCAAAACGCCGAGGATGTTTCAAGCGGAATGCGCCGGAGTTGTGAAGATGTCCATAGCGAGTTCCTTTAGAGAATCACGTGTCGTGGCGCGTTGGAACCCAGATTTCCGAAGATGTCTCGCGCGAAACGGGTCTCCTCCTCCTCTTCCTCCTCCGCCTCCTCCTCCTCCTCCTATTCCTTCTCCTCCTCCTCCTCCTTTTCCTCGTCCTCCTCGTCCTCCTCGTCCTTCTCATCCTCCTTCTACTCTTCTCCGCACGCTCCTCATTATCCTGCTCCTCCTCCTCCTTTTTCTCCTCACCATCCTCGCCATCATCCTCCCAGCCACGCGCGGGCGCGGGCGCGCGGGCGGGCGCAGCGACGGCGGCGACGGCGGCAGCGACAGCGGCGGCCGGCGGCACCGGGGACGGCGGCAGCGCGACGCACGGATATCTTCGCGACCTCGCGAGGCCATCGCGAGGCCACCTTGGAGGAGGCCAGCTCTCTAGCCTAGGCAGCGACGCGCGAAGCACGATTATCTTCGCGCCCCTGGGGTGACCGAGTCTCGGACAGCCGCCGAAGGCCTCCTCCTCCCGCTCCTCGTTGTCCTCTTCTCTCCTCCTCCTCCTCTTCCTAATCCTCCCCCTCTTCCTCTTCCCTCCGCAGCCTCCCCCTCCTCCTGCTCGTTTACAATTACTCAATATGAAAATACTCTCCCTTTTCCCCTGATGGCATCCGGGTGATGGCCGCGCACCCTCCGCGTACTGTTTTGTTACACGCAGGATTCCCGGGAAATCCCGGGAAACGACTCTCGCTGAGGCGCCGGCGTCATTTTCGGGCCGAACGCCCCCCGCGTACAGTTTTTTAACACACAGGATTCCCGGGAAACGGGTTTCGCCTGCGTTTTTTTCAAAATGATGCTCTCGCTGAGGCGCCGGCCTCATTTCTGCTCCCGAATCGTTCCGAATCGTGCTCCCGCTGCAGCGTGGGCCTCATTTTCGGATCGGTGTTTGGCCTCCGTCGTTCAGGATGGCGTTCTCGCCCCAGCGCGGGCCTCTTTCTCGCGCGCCCATCCGCCCGCCACCACCGCGCCGCACCACCACCACCACCACCACCACCACCACCACCACCACCACCACCACCATCACAACCACCACCAGCACCAGCACCACCACCAGCACGAGCACCAGCACCAGCACCAGCACCAGCACCAGCACCAGCACCACACCACCACCACCACCACCACAACCACGCACACACGCACGCACGCACGCACGCACGTGCACCACCACCCACTACGCACGCGCGCGCGGAGCCACAGGTCCGCTACGACACGCGTCCGCGGATAGAGAAAATCAGCGCCATGGTAAGGGAAGGGAGGGAGGGATGGGATCCGCGAGCGCACCTAGCTTGTCCTCCTCCCCTCCGCCTCCTCCCCCACGGCATCATTTTCATCATCATCCTCATCATCATCAGCAGCAGCATCATTATCATCATCAGCATCCGCATGCTCAGTGTAGCTTTACAAATATCCGTAGCAGCAAGGAGTGATAGAAATAGTTGTGGTAGTGATATCAACGGCAGTAGCGTCGTAGTCGTCGTAGAAGTAGTAGCAGCAGGAGCAGTAGCAGCAGCAGCAGGAGCAGTAATAGTTCTAATAGCTGTGCTCGTACGAATAACAATAGCAACCACGAGAATAGCACATGTGCATCGCAGCGATAGCCACAATAATATGTGCTGGTGCAGTAGTCGTAGTTTTTAGCATTTGTACTAGTAGACGTAGCCATAGCCGCAACACTCATTTAAAACATGCGCATAATTGCGATAACCTCAATAATAAGTGTTGTTGAAGTTGTGGTCGCAATAGTGATTGTAGCTGCAGTAATACCAGTAGAAGTCGTGGTAACGATCGTAATCCATGGGGGGTAAAAAATAATAGCATCAACCGTAAGAATTGTAAATGTAGTAACAATGATAGTAGCAGTTGTTGTATCAGCACCCGTAACAACAGCAGTAACGATAGTAACACATGAGAATAGTATTAATAAAATTGTTATAAATTGCACTTGTAGTAACACCGGTGACAGCAGCGGAATCGGCAGTAACGAATAGGAGTAGTAGTAGTAGTAGTCGTAGTAGTCGTAGTGATAGCAGTAGTAGTAGTAGTAGTAGTAGTAATAGTAGTAGTAGTAGTAGTAGAAGTAGTCGTAGTAGTCGCAGTAGTAGTAGTAGTAGTAGTAGTAGTAGTAGTAGTAGTAGTAGTAGTAGTAGTAGTAGTAGTAGTAGTAGTAGTAGTAGACGTAGTAGTAGTAGTAGTAGTAGCAGCAGCAGTAGTCGTAGTAGGTGTTATGGTTGTGGATGTTCTTCGCGCCCTCGCGAGGCCATCGCGAGGCCACCTTGGAGGAGGCCAGCTCTCTAGCCTAGGCAGCGACGCGCGAAGCACGATTATCTTTGCGCCCCTGGGGTGACCGAGTCTCGGACAGCCGCCGAAGGCCTCCTCCTCCCGCTCCTCGTTGTCCTCTTCTCTCCTCCTCCTCTTCCTTATCCTCCCCCTCTTCCTCTTCCCTCCGCCGCCTCCCCCTCCTCCTGCTCGTTTTCCTCCTCCCCTCCGCCTCCTCCTCCACGGCATCATTTCCATCATCATTCTCATCATCATCAGCAGCAGCATCATTATCATCATCAGCATCCGCATGCTCGTTGTAGCTTTACAAATATCCGTAGTAGCAAGGAGTGATAGAAATAGTTGTGGTAGTGATATCAACGGCAGTAGCGTCGTAGTAGTCGTCGTAGAAGTAGTAGTAGCAGCAGGAGCAGTAGCAGCAGCAGCAGGAGCAGTAATAGTTCTAATAGCTGTGCTCGTACGAATAACAGTAGCAACCACGAGAATAGCACATGTGCATCGCAGCGGTAGCCACAATAATATGTGCTGGTGCAGTAGTCGTAGTTTTAGCTTTTGTACGAGTAGACATAGTCATAGCCGCAACACTCATTTAAAACATGCGCATAGTTGCGATAACCTCAATGGTAAGTGCTGTTGAAGTTGCGATCGCACTAGTAGTTGTAGTTGCACTGGTACCCGTAGGAGTAGTGGTAAAACGATAATAATACATAGCGTCAACCATAATATGTGTGGATGTACTAAGAATAACAGTAGCAAGTGTTCCTTATCAGCACCCGTAACAACAACAATAACGATAATAACACATGGGAATGATAGTTGTTTGTGGCACCAGTGACAGCAGCGGAAACGGTAGTAACAAATAGGGGTAGTAGAATTAGCTGTTATGGTTGTGGATGTTGTAGTAGTAGTTATTGTAAGGATCCCTTGGGATCCCCGAGAGTTCTTCAGGACAAAGGAGTCATCAGAAGGATTCAGAAGGATTACCACTCGGAGTGGTTCAAAGGATTCTCCAGGATTCCTCAGAAAGATTTCGACTGATTACCACTCGGACAACTACGACAACTCCGAGCCGATAAACCGATAAACCGATCAACCTAGAAATTGGTAAACCGACATGCCGATACACTGGTAAACAGAGAAGCATACCGATAAACCGATAAACCGATAAAGCCATACTGCGCTGAGATTTGGAAACGCTTGCGATGAGTCGGTTTATCGGTTGATCGGTTGATCGGTTGGTCAAATTATCGACCGGTAGACCGATATGATCATATCGGTTTATCGGTCGATAAACCGATAAACCGATCAACCCAAATAATTTATCGGTTTGTCGGGTTATCGGTCTTATTTTCAGGTCCTGCGGCTGCAACCCATATATCTATACATACATACCTATACATATGCATATGTACACATAGTTATGTTGTGCACGCTAAGTGGTATACTCTACGTAGTGCAAAATACACAATATAATAGTGCAATCAATGTGGTGTAATGTATGTTGTGCAGCCTCTGGCGCGCAACAAGAAGTTAAGCAACCGAGTGGTGCAATCCAACAGCGGCCACGGGCGACGACGAGGCGACAACGGGACAGAAACGGCGACTAGCAGCCAGACCGCCAGGCTGGCCCAGACGACGGGCGGCGACGAGGCGGCGACGTGGCGGCGACGGCGACAACATTGCCACCAGAGCGACACACCAGCCCAATTCCTTAGATTGACCAGAAGTGGGAACCCTTGAGTGCAGACACTGTTTGGAAATGTTATGCTAACTTAAGCAGAATCCCAGGTACATTGGACTCCTGTTGCCGACCCCAACGCTATCCAGGTGCACTTGCATCCTGCTTCCGGTCCAATCATTATCCCAGGTACGTCTGCCCTGTGCTGCTAGTCCAAACGCAAGCCCAGGTACATACGTTTGCAACCCACTCACGCTCAGCGGACTCCTTCCTACCCTCAAGCATTAAATTGCCTGCGGTGCGGCGGGGGCCTCCTCCTTCGTAACGAACCTGCATTTCTCCAGCAGCTCTCTGGCGGAGGGCCTGTGCGCTGGGTCCATCACCAGCGCGGCCTGGGGAAGTGTGCCCAGATGAGGTACTGCAACGAACGTACACGGATTGACCACTGCAAGAGAACAAACGGAAGCCGTGGCCAGCGGCAAGCTGAAATCATGTGAACATAAATCCTTTGAAAAAAACGCGCGGGCACCCGCCGCCTACCTGAGACTTGCCCTCGACGAGCACTCTGGCATGCAATTATGCGTCCGCGATGTGTGAGGGCTGGTTGAACCGCTGACGACTCAATCTAACACAGATAGCGACCCAAATGCTCCTTCTTGTCGTCACGCTTCCGCACCATATTGGACGGACTCGCTCAGGTTGCACTACAAATACGTCACCCTGTACATGTACATGTGCACAGATACATCGTACACACCACCTATGGCACTCAATCGATTACATCACATACTTTGCACCTCACGAGTTGCACCCCATAGATTGCATCGTAAACATTTCACCGCAGGTATTGCACTCTCAGCACAGTTTACGCTACAGAGGTCGCACGTCGAGAGTGCAGGAGGCGACTCTTTTGGGCCTACGCTGGCTACCACATCCATCCCAATCGCCATGCCAGCGTCACCATCTTCGCGATGGTCATCATAATCTCCACCTCTATGAATGTCATAGCCAACACGTCATAATCACCACCATCCTCAAGCTGGCGCGCTGAATCATCTTGCGAACCGCATGGTTGCTTACATACGCGTACGTGTTGCATCATGCTGGCACGGAGTTGTACGAAGGCGCGCTGGCCAGAGTACACGAAGGCGTAAACTACTACACGCATAAGTACATATGTATATATATACATGTAAATATACATGTGTATCTCTCTCTATATATGTATATATGTGTGTGCTCACATATACATATACCCGTATATTATGTGCATACATGCAAGTGCGATAAGCACCACCCCTGTCGTCCATCTGAGGCTTTTCTTGGCATACCTATATATATATATGTATATATAAATTTTCCCGTGGTCTCTCTCTATCTCTCGTTCTCTCTCTCTCTCTATAGATGTATACCTATATATATATATATATATCGCTGTCCCTCTGCCTCTCTATCTCCAGGCTGCGATGCCGCGGAATGTCTTGCCTGGGGGCTCTGAGTTTCATGTCTCTCCTAATGTGATGATTGATGCTCATCATTTTGCCGGTTTCTGGTCGACCGTGCCCAGCTGGGGCGCAGCCCCAGCGGGGAGGTGGAGGCGGCGCTAGCGAGGGGAGAGGGTGCACGCCGGAAACCAAACAAAGACATAACACTTGCGCTACCGAGGAACCCCACATACTTATATTATGGCTAGAGTGATGATCACTTAAGTGAAGCATGCGAAAATGATGTTGGTGGCCGTTGCCAACCCCTGCGCATCCCCTTTCTGGTGCCGAGCAAATGCCACGCCTGCTATGAACTGGACGACCGTCGTGCATAACGGATAGGGAGACCACCCCCAGCGCACCCCCTGTGGTGTCGAGGAAGTGCCACGCCTGCCACGCTCCGCGAGGCCGCAACGGATAGGGAGACCACCCCCAGCGCACCCCCTGTGGTGTCGAGGAAGTGCCACGCCTGCCACGCTTTGCGAGGCCGCAACAGATAGGGAAATCACCCCCAGCGCACCCCCTGTGGTGTCGAGGAAGTGCCACGCCTGCCACGCTTTGCGAGGCCGCAACGGATAGGGAGACCCCCCCCAGCGCACCCCCTGTGGTGCCGAGGAAGTGCCACGCCAGCCACGCTATGCGAGCCCGCAACGGATAGGGAGACCACCCCCAGCGCACCGAGGAAGTGCCACGCCTGCCACGCTTTGCGAGGCCGCAGCGGATAGGGAGACCACCCCCAACGCACCCCCTGTGGTGTCGAGGAAGTGCCACGCCTGCCACGCTTTGCGAGCCCACAACGGATAGGGAGACCACCCCCAGCGCACACCCTGTGGTGTCGAGGAAGTGCCACGCCTGCCACGCTTTGCGAGGCCGCAACGGATAGGGAGACCACCCCCAGCGCACCCCCTGTGGTGTCGAGGAAGTGCCACGCCTGCCACGCTTTGCGAGGCGGCAACGGATAGGGAGACCACCCTCAACGCACCCCCTGTGGTGTCGAGGAAGTACCACGCCCGCCACGCTTTGCGAGGCCGCAACGGATAGGGAGACCACCCCCAGCGCACCCCCTGTGGTGTCGAGGACGTGCCACGCCTGCCACGCTTTGCGAGGCCGCAACGGATAGTGAGGCCACCTCCAGCGCACCCCCTGTGGTGCCGAGGAAGTGCCACGCCAGCCACGCTTTGCGACGCCGCAGCGGATAGGGAGACCATCCCCAGCGCACCCCCTGTGGTGTCGAGGAAGTGCCACGCCTGCCAGGCTTTGCGAGGCAGCAACGGATAGGGAGACCATCCCCAGCGCACCCCCTGTGGTGCCGAGGAAGTGCCACGCCTGCCACGCTTTGCGAGGCCGCAACGGATAGGGAGACCACCTCCAGCGCACCGCCTGTGGTGTCGAGGAAGTGCCACGCCTGCCACGCTTTGCGAGGCCGCAACGGATAGGGAGACCACCTCCAGCGCACCCCCTGTGGTGTCGAGGAAGTGCCACGCCTGCCACGCTATGCGAGCCCGCAACGGATAGGGAGACCACCCCCAGCGCACCCCCTGTGGTGTCGAGGACATGCCACGCCTGCCACACTCCGCGAGGCCGCAACGGATAGGGAGACCTCCCCCAGCGCAACCCCTGTGGTGTCCAGAAAGTGCCACGCCTGCCACGCTTTGCGAGGCCGCAGCGGATAGGGAGACCACCCCCAGCGCACCCCCTGTGGTGTCGAGGAAATGCCACGCCTGCCACGCTTTGCGAGGCCGCAACGGATAGGGAGACCACCCCCAGCGCACCCCCTGTGGTGTCGAGGACGTGCCACGCCTGCCACGCTTTGCGAGGCCGCAACGGATAGGGAGACCACCCCCAGCGCATCCCCTTGTGGTGTCGAGGAAATGCCACGCCTGACACGCTGTGCGAGGCCGCAGCGGATAGGGAGACCACCCCCAGCGCACCCCCTGTGGTGTCGAGGAAGTGCCACGCCTGCCACGCTTTGCGAGGCCTGTGCTGCGGTCTGTTGTGCTGAGCTGTGCTGAGCTGTGCTGTGTTGTGCTATGCTGTGTGTGTGGTGTGCTGTGTGTGCTTGTGTGTTTGTGTGTATGTGTGCATGTGTGTATGTGTGTATGTGTGTGCTTTGATGTTATGTGCTGTGCTGTGTTGTGGGTGAGGGAGGAAGGAAGAAGAGGAGGGGGAGGAGGAGGAGGAGGAGGAGGAGGTGTGAATCGCGGGCGTGTGAGTCGCGGCCGCGGCGCGGCAGAGAAGAAAACCATAACCCCACCAAGCATGTGGGGAATAATGATGATGATGTTGATTATGATGATGCTGATGATGATGATGATGATGATGATGATGATGATGATGATGATGATGATGATGGCGCCCCCCCTGCTTGCGTACCCCTGTGGCCTCAAGAAAACGTGACGCGCGCTACGCCCTGGTAGACTCCACCCCCTGCGCACCCCCCATGGGGTCGAGAAACTGCCACGCCTGCTATGCCTGGACGACTGCTATGCCTGGACGACAAGGGGCGTATAGAGACCGCGGTGAGAGACCACCCCCTGCGCACCCCTTATAGTGTCGAGACAGTCTCACGCATGCTGTGCCTGGACGACATAGGCGCATAGCGGTCGCGCCGAGGGACAACCCCCTATGGTGTCGAGGAAGTGCCACGCCTGCTGTGCCTGGACGACCAAGGCGTATACAGGCCGCGGTGAGAGACCCCCCCCCGGCGCACCCCCTATGGTGTCGAGAAAGCGCCACGCCTGCTGTGCCTGGACGACCGGGGCGTATAGAAACCGCGGTGAGAGACCACCCCCTGCGCACCCCCTATGGTGTCGAGAAAGTGCCACGCCTGCTGTGCCTGGACGACTGGGGCGTATAGAGACCGCGGTGAGAGACCAGCCCTTGCGCACCCCTTATGGTGTCGAGAAAGTGCCACGCCTGCTGTGCCTGGACGACCGGGGCGTATAGAGACCGCGGTGAGAAACCACCCCCTGCGCACCCCCTATGGTGTCGAGAAAGTGCCACGCATGCTGTGCCTGGACGACTGGGGCGTATAGAGACCGCTGTGAGAGACCACCCCCTGCGCACCCCCTATGGTGTCGAGAAAGTGCCACGCCTGCTGTGCCTGGACGACCGGGGCGTATAGAGACCGCGGTGAGAAACCACCCCCTGCGCAGCCCCTATGGTGTCGTATGTGCCCTGGACGACCGGGGCGTATAGAAACCGCGGTGAGAGACCACCCCCTGCGCACCCCCTATGGTGTCGAGAAAGTGCCACGCCTGCTGTGCCTGGACGACTGGGGCGTATAGAGACCGCGGTGAGAGACCAGCCCTTGCGCACCCCTTATGGTGTCGAGAAGGTGCCACGCCTGCTGTGCCTGGACGACTGGGGCGTATAGAGGCCGCGGTGGGAAACCACCCCCTGCGCACCCCCTATGGTGTCGAAAAAGTGCCACGCCTGCTGTGCCTGGACGACTGGGGCGTATAGAGACCGCGATGAGAGACCAGCCCTTGCGCACCCCCTATGGTGTCGAGAAAAAACCACGCCTGCTGTGCCTGGGCGACCGGGGCGTATAGAGACCGCGGTGAGAAACCACCCCCTGCGCACCCCCTATGGTGTCGAGAATATGCCATGCCTGGTGTGGCCTGGAAGACTGGCGCGTATAGAGACGGCGGCGAGAGACCACCCCCTGCGCACCCCCTATGGCGTCGAGAAAATGCAACGCTTGCTACGCCTGGACGACTGGCGCGTATAGAGACAGCGGTGAGAGACCACATCCTGCGCACCCCCTATGGTGTCGAGAAAGTCCCACGCTTGCCATGCACTGCGAATCTTACACGCACGTCTTATGTGGTGTGTGTCATGTGTATGTGTATGGTGTGTGCGCGGCCTGATGCAGTGAACATGCGTCTTGTTTTTGCCCCTATGGT